GGGGGGGGGGGGGGGGGATCTTTGTGCAGGATAACCCCGCACCCAGTAACATCCTGTTCCAGACATTTCCTGCTCCAGAGGATGTTCTTATGTTACTTTTACCCTGTTCTAAAAAAATAAAAATAAAAGCGGGACTACTTTTTGAACCAAATTGTTTGTTGCTACTGTGAGGACCCGTTGCCACGGTGATTTTCTGCTTTTACTCCTCGTGACGCTCGCTGCACTTTTTGGCTGAGAAGAACCAGGCCTTTGCTTCCAGTTGGCTGCGAGCATCTGGAGGGGTTTCTTCTAAATCCCTCTGACGTCCACAGTTCAAACCAAACAGTCTGTCTCTGTGCAGCGAGGGAAAATATGACTTCTGCTTTCCTTCTGATGCTCGTTCCCATCTCTCCTTCTGGTTACAGCCCACTCTCTCCCACCCATCTGACTATGACTCAGTCTCTCCTCTTTTTTTTCACCCCCTTTTCTCCCCATGAGCAGTCTCTCCGTCTCATAACGCACACTTTGTGGACTCACCCCATCTTGGTCTTGCTTTCAGGAGGGCTGCAGGGGACTCCGGCTCACGCTCCACGACCAGAGAGAAGCAGCTCGGGGCTCAGAGCAGCGCAGAGACAAGGTAAGAACTTCCTTTAGATGATCGTCTACAATCAGGACGGAAACAGCCGAGCTAATGAAGCAGACCCTCATGAGCAAAGATAGTTTAGTTTAACCAGTAAAATAAACTGGTATAAAATAGAGTTCATTTAAATCTAAAAGACTAAACAGTTCTGCTGTTGTTTACAGGTATTTACATCTAGATCTGTTATGTTTTGGTTATAATCTCATTTAAATTTCAGCCTCCTTTTTATGAAAAACATCATTTTTGGACAGTATAAAACCTTCCACCGACTAAAAAGACCTGTGGTGTCGCACCAAGGGAGATCTGGATGCAAACGCATCAACAAACTGTAACAGCTTAAATGTTAAGTTTTTGTCTAATTCATATTTTGTTGTCACATTTTTAATTCATCGTATAATTCTGGAGGAGATTGTGTCAGATTAGTTTCAAGCCTCGAGTCTTTCATATTTAAACAGATGTAACTTTTTTTTTTTTTTAACCGTACTTGTTATTTGTTGTAACAGATGAGAGATAATGATAAAGGTGCATGTTTGGATCGGGACGTTTCACGGTTTGTTTCAGTAGTTCTGAAGAATCAGCTTCTGCGTAACGCATTATGCAATATTCCTGCACATTAACGAGCTATAAACATGCGTCATGGCAGCCGTTAGTGTTTTTCTCAGGCTCTTTAAACGTCTCAGATCAACCATTGTTCCATCAAAAGCTGCGGGACAGTCAGAGCAGCGGAGTTGCGTAACGTCTATGTACGTCCCTTTACTTTCTGCTTGTCATTTGGCCAAGTGTTTCCACCCTTCTGTTCCGCCGAGCTCCAGATGTTTACGGGTTGGTCTCCTCCGTAATCTCAGCTAAACGTTTCTGCCTCTTGATAATACGTTCTCGCAATCCGTCACATGCAACAGAACACGCTCAGCGTTCTTTTAGTGGTCATTAGTTTTTAATTGCATCATTTGTGCTGACATTCCAGACGATGTTTGACGATTATCAAACAAATGTACCGCAGACTCCTAAATCTGTTGGATCACAGATTAATTGTTTTGGATTAGCTTCACTCAGCTATATACTGTATGTGTGATAGTCACACTGGTAACCCTTCTGTTCTCTGCTCTGCAGCCGATTGGACGAGCTTTTGCTCTGGTGCAGCCAGCAAGCGACCGGTCGCCTCCAAACACCGAACCGGTGAAATCGGCAGAGGAGCAAGTGGAGATCATAAAGGTGAGTGTAGCCGATTGCTAGTCGGTGTGTCTGTTGGCTAAACGAGTGTCAAAACGCTAACGTGTCGCCTTGTTTCAGGTGTACCTAGAGGCCCGCAGACAAGAGCAGCAGAACCATCAGCAGAGCCTGAAGATGCTGTCAGATGAAGTTTCACAGATACAGGAGGTGAGTTTGTGGCAGCAGCTGACTCTGAATGTTTCCACTGATAAGCTCCAGCATCAAACACCATGTTTCCTGGGTAATAAAGCTAATTGTGCATGTTTGCATCATGCAAAATCCTCCACGCTTCCTGTCTTCCATCTCACGTTATCTCCTTATCTCCTCTTTGATTATTCGGTAGAACATTAAACAGGTAGACTGGCAGCTTTTATTACTGACATTGCTGACGTTCTTCAACGGTTACTCAAGTATTTTCATTTAAAGTTCGACATTCACTTGGATGGGGGTGCTCATTCATGCCACTGTGTTCATTTAACAGCTTGTGCACTAGCATGACAAGTGTGTGGAAAACCCGTAGTGGTAAAAGAATTTATGCGATAACAGAAAAAAAAAAAAGTTGAGATTTGAATCCTGTCAATAAAACATTTGACACTCAGCTCAATTTGTGTTGCTTTATGTAATCAATCAGTGGAAGTACTTTTGATGTGACAGCAGGTAAAGAAGGTAGAACATCAATTTACGCCTTTATTGTGGTAGTTTGAACATAATTACAGCTCAGTTTTAGGTCTGGTGGCAGAAAATCACCTGTTGCTACACAAGCTTTCATCCTGATAGCAATTAGAATTACAGCAACGTTCTTAGTAACCCCATTACTGAGACTATAAAACACACCGTACAATAACTGTTTGCTGAAATGATTGCTACAAGACCAACATCAGTAAATAAATCATAAACAAACACTTGATGCAATGGCTCATGGGAGTTTTAAACAGCTACCTTTCAAACTTTTTGCAGCTGCGATGCTAACGCTAGTAAAAAGCGAAAATTCGGTTTCTGCCGTGATATTTTTATTTGTCCTGCCCTAACCATGCTGTAACATTAACATTGCTTTTGCCAGTATCTCTGATTATGAAACAAATTAAAGTTTTTGCTGCTGCTCATGTACAATCACAGCTAAGTTAAGTTGCAGAGTCCTTTAGCTAGCACAAAGATGCTGCAGCCCATGCGATTACAGTAGTTCCTCGTTCATCTCGGGGGGATCCGTACCCTGAAGTCCCGCAATAAGTGAAAAACCATGAAATAGGAATAGTAGTACAAGTAGTAAGTAGTAGTTTATTTTAGCATTAATATATATTTATATATAGGCGTTTTAAATCCTTCCCACACTCATGCAATATCCTAAACAATGTTTCTAAACTCTAAACGCTCTAATAGAGCACAGAATGCCATGATTTCAACTCCCTGCCTCTGCTGCTCTCGGCCACACCCACTTCTCCGTTCTGCACGGAGATCAGCTGATCAGCTGCAGCAGGAAGCTTATCCTGCAGTGTGGGCTGCACATAGGTGCAGCAGGCGCTAAATAATTTAAAATAATTTATTTTAAATTAAAAAAATTCATGCCAATCATGCGGCTCATCTATCAGTCAGCCAAATGTGTCATGTCCAATCTTATTTTGAAAAACCACGATAGAGCGAGTCTGCGAAAAACGAAGCGCGAAGTAGCGAGGGACTACTGTACAACACTTTTGTGATTAAAATAAACATTTTGCTGACTGAAAGTAATTTTTGAAATGCATGTGTTTTTAAATGAGTGCATTATAACTGACTTGTATAATAACTTTCCCAGCGTTGTCACTAAGTGCTGTTTTGTCTGTTATAGGTGAGGTATTGCCTGAAGTCTCTGAGGGAGCAAATGGCAGCCAAAACCAAGGTAACTCAAAACTTTAGTGCCTTCGTCGTTTGTTAACTCGCATCCTGTGTACTCATTTACCTCCCTCGTCTCCATTGTTTACTGTTTTCATGCTAACTTTCTTCTCTTTCCCCTCCAGCCGAACATGAATGGATGGAAGGTCGGCATTCCTTTCAGAAAGAACGTCTCTGCTCCCAAAGGAGGATCCAAGGCTGACCAGCAGGTGAGGAGACTCTCACGTGAACAAACTCTTTTCAGTAATAGAAAGCATTTGCTTGTCATATAATATCCAATATCAAATGCATGGTGTAGCCTCAGTCCAGCGTATTTTTATTTTATTTTTTGTCTTGTTGTGGAGAAGCCTGTAAAACAATCTCCCCCCTCCTCAACAAAAATGTGATATGTGTGTATATGAGCAGATCACATTGTTGGTGAAAGAGTAAATATTCTCATAGTGCCTTGGGGTGTTTGTGAATGTACAGGCGCTGTTCTAGCACACTGTGTTCTTCCTCCTGCACGTGTTCTCGTTTGCAGGTCCTCCTCCTTCAGCTGAACCCGTAATAGTTGCGCTGTTGCCTTTTGTCTGGACACTTTATGAGTTCTAACAACTGTGTTGCATGTCTTTAATAAAGCTCATCAAAATGTTTTTTTTTTTTTTGTGCCAACTGTAACATCTGTGACTCACCTCTCATGCAAAAAATAGGCGGGAACCACTGGCTATGACATAACTGCTTCACTGACGCACGCAGACACGCCTGTTTTCTTTTTGGCAGCACGAACCCGCAGATCTGGGCCGAAACTAAAAGTGTGTGTTTTTATTGCGTGGTAATAAAAACTTTTATCGCTTTCTAACCCGACGGTTTATTCTTGATCCGTAGGAGGCAGACGATGAGGCGGAGCGGGACAAGCTGAGAGAAGTTAGTAAGCGTTTGTATGCGCAGCTGCAGGAGGCAGAGAAGAAGCACCAGGAGGAAAGAGAGAGGCTGCAGGTAAAATATGTGCACGCAATGCTTATTTATCCTCTCACTTCATACTCAGCGAGGTGAGTCCCTACCAAACAAGAGCCTTTTTTTCCTAACGAGCCAAACGCCATGTCCTCTTCAGGCTGAAGGCAGCAGTCTCAGGGAGAGTCTGAGCAACAAGGAGGAACAGCTGAGGATTGCAGAAGATGCCGGCGAGAAGAAAGACATGCGTATCGAGGAGCTCCAGAGGCTGCTGGGAGGGATGGAGCAGGAGAGCGCCACTCTGAGGGCGACCATTCAAAACCGAGAGGATGAACTGCAAGAGCTGCGGCGGTTCAGAGAGGAGGGCCACAAAGGGGAGCAAAGGTCAGCCACTCTGCACAAACGAATCACCGAGAACGAAAAATCATCTGTGGCATTGCAGGGTGCCGTAACGTGCTTTTTCTCTTTTAGAGCTGAACAACTGGAGAAGGAGGTGGCGATCCTCAAAGAGAAGATCCACCATCTGGATGACATGCTGAAAAGCCAACAGAGGAAAGTCCGTCACATGATCGAGCAGGTGAGAAGCACGTGAACGCCACAGCGCCTCACGTTTTGCGCGCGGCTCAGCTCACTGGCTGACTCTGTGTTCGCTCGTCTTTCAGCTCCAGAACTCCCGCATGGTGATCCAGGAGCGCGACCGAGTGATCAAAGAGCTGGAGGAGAAAGTAGCGTTTCTGGAGGCTGAGGTGAGCGCCGCTCTCGTCTCCTCCTCTCCCAAATATCTCTGGAACGCTCAACAAGGAGACAAACGGTGGAAGAAAAGATGGACATTTATGTCTTTGTTTTGTTCCTGATAGGCAGCACGATGGCTCAGTGGTTAGCACTGTTGCCTCACAGCAAGAAGGTCCTGGGTTCAATCCCCAGTTGGACCTGGGGTCTTTCTGGGTGGAGTTTGCATGTTCTTCTCGTGCTTGCGTGGGTTTTCTCCTGGTACTCTGGTTTCCTCCAGACTAAAAACATGCGTGTTAGGCATGCCGTCAGGTCCAGGCCTCCCTTGCCAAAGAGATCTGTGATCTCAGTGGGATCCTGGTTTAATAAAAGTTAATTAATTTAATAATAGGGTAATAATGTATAAAACATTTCTCTGTGTGCAGAATCGAGAAATGCGTGACCAGATGGACTACTATCTGGGAGGTCAGAGGCCACACTCCTACCTTTCATCAGAGCGCCACTCCCAGGTTGTTTACAGGTAACCTGTTTTGCTCATTTTCTTGTTTTTCCTGGAAACTTTTTACACTATAGGTACTTCCTGCTTGACCCAGATTCAACTTTGCATAAGTTGAACAACAGTTTGTTTTTACTTTAAAAAAAAAAAAAAAGGTCAAGGCTCATTTATTAATGAATCTGTCCTTCTTGTCGTAACAGTAAACCACTCAAGCCTTCCACCTCCTCCACCAAGCCGCTCCCGTACATCAAAGTCATCGAGATCAAGTCATGAAACGACCCAGAAGCACCAAACCTTCTCCGTGAGGACTGAACTCGAGACAGCAGCTCTCCTGATCACGAACGAATAACACGCAGATCAGATCGGAGCTGAGCCTTCCTCCACCACCAAACACGATCCACTAAACCATTTCGAAGCTAACGCTCTTTGAAGGAAACCGACGAGTGACTCCGAGCACCAACTGTGCGTCTTTGGCAACGATTGCGCGTTTGTCAGCTTTGTAGATACGGTAGACTTCCTGCTGTGCGTCTTGTTTTACTTGTAAGGTTTTCTCTGTGGTCTGATCTGTTCTTGGCCTTTGAGTTTGTGTACTTGTTGTATAAAAACAGAACTGGTGAACAAGCGAACTCTTTTCCATGTTCGTTGTGTTATAAAGTTCGTTTAAACTAATGTAGCATCGATGTACGGTCGCTAACTTGTTATCTGAATTGTACTGATTAGTCACTCTCTGTTGAGTCTGTTCACTTGATTTGTGAATGATTGTTTGATCATTAGAATTAGGATTTTTATACGGCTGGCGTTTATTTAAAAATATCAGTGTGGTTTCTTAGCCCCGCCCACCTGATAACAACAATAGGGCACTTTATAAAACTGTGAGGACGCAGAAGGAAAGATGAAGACGTTCACTGGCTTCATTCCTCTCAATATATCTGACATTTCAACTCCATGTCGTTGTGTAAAAAGTCACCTTGTTGTACATAGTAATAATAATAATAATAATAATATTGATGAATGTGATTGGATGTTAAAATTTCTAACAGCTTTCTCCTTCCTGTTTATTTATAAGAAATGAAACCTGTTGACTGTTTGATAGAAGAGCTCTTTTGTACATCTTAATCTGTTATCTCTGTGGTTTTCAGAATAAAAGCTTTTAAATGTATTGCCTCATGTCCCAGTTTTTTATTCATTCATATGTTTGTGCCATTTCAAGCTCAGACTCTCAGTGCAACTCCTGCTGATCTGAAGTGTATATACAAGAACTATTACTACAAGAAGTTAATACGTTCCAGAGGCTTTCGTTGACCGTCACATTCAGTTCATGCAGAGTTTATATTTGCAGAATTTGCCCCCTTCTTAAGGCACGAGTGTTCAATCCTGGTCCTTGAGGGCCGCTACCCTGCACGCTTTAGTTGTTTCTGTGCTTCAACACACCTGATCTGAATCAATGGGAGACAAAAAGTCACCTGCGGAACATAAAGAGGTAATTTGACCACTGATCCAGATGTGTACTTGTACAAATGGCTCTCAAGGACCAGGATTGGACATCACTGCCTTAAGGTGTGCACTGAATCCTAACTGATCCTATTTTTGTATCATTGATGCATGAAGTTTTAGAATTTGTAGGTTTTTGTTTGTCCCCCCCGCCTCATTAAGGATTCACCACAAGTTCTCAGTGGGATTAACTTCTTCCATGTTCTCCAAGTCTCTTCACTTTGGCCTTATGATGCTCCATCATGATGGAAAAGGCTTTGTTCTCCCCAAACTGTTCTCAGATAGTTAGGAGGTTGCTTTTGAAGGATGTTTCACTCTTTATTTACGGCTGTTAAAATTGTGAGCCAGCGCCCTCCCTTGGCTGAGAAGCACACATGGATGGTTTAAGGGAGCCTATGTGCATTATGCAGGACATATGGTAATGCTCACATTTTCTTCTCCCAATGAATCTTCTATTTTTCAGATGCCCAAAACAATCAGAAATGGGATTCATCACTGTAACAGGCTTTACTTGAATCCCTGTACCTTTTGCATAATTTCAATCTGTCCCAGGTGTCTTCTCGAGAGTGAAATGGCTTCTAAGTTGTTTTTATTTTTACACCAGGCCATCCTCTAGAAATCTTTGTCTCAATGTGTGCACAGATGTCACTTTTTTTTATATAGCACATAAAAAAAACAAAAGTTAACCAAAGTGCTTTGCAATTTAATCAAATTAAAATGCGAAATTACAATAAGAACACGAAATTACAAGAGATATTGGGTCATCAAGGAAACTCAAGAAAGTTAAAAAATAAAATGCATCAGCTCTAACTGGTTCTCAACCTCTGCCTGGGGAAGGTCCTGATCAAAGATTTGAAAGTCTCAGTGGTCTTTAGATGATCAGGTAAACTATTCCACAGTTTTGAAGCAGCTTTTATTAGCTGCTTTGTTTTATGTTAATTTAGAATCAGGAAATTTGGTTTTGACCTGAACTGAATGTAATTTAGACAGTTCAAGAGTGCTTCCATTGAAGAGACCCTGTCTAACTTAATGGGCAGATACACCTGAGAATCATCAGCAAAGTAGTCAAAAGGGATGTTATATTTTTGGATGGAAGGATGGACCTCAAAGGCAATATATAACAGTTAAGCAATGGACCTAAAATAGACCCTTGAGGAACCCCACAAATCAGAGGAGCTGCAGACAAAGAACATTATCCCTAAATTAAAACGCCAGTCTGTCAAGTGGGATCTTAACCAGGATTAAACAGTGCTTTTGATACCAACCACCTGCTCAGATGAACTCGCCTGCCTGCTGCCAGTCCTGAGAAAGCTCGTTCTCCTTGAAAACCTTAACGATCCAATAAATGGTTGATTTGGGTGCGATCTTACTTGCAGCAAAAAAAAAAAATTCACTTGAAGCTGTTTTGTGCAAAGCAATGATGTTTCATTTGACCATGATAACAAAGGAAGATAAGTGATTTCAAGCACCAACCTCCTTTATATGGAGGGTGGAATGTGACAAAATTAAATCAATAAAAACATCCCACCATACTTTAAAAGCATCGAGTAACCCAACATGACAGAAGGACCTCCAGCCTCAGAGGATCAGGTCAAATGATGTCAGCAGGTGTTTTTTTATCACAGGGTTGAATTGTAATCAAAATAGTAATTAATTCAAATGGGTGCACTGTCAGTTTTAGAACCATACAAGATTTAAAAAATGAAGTCTTGCTTGAAGATTGAAACTTAAAGCAAATCTGTGTATTTTACTAGAGTTCCCTCTGCTGGATACTCCTCGCACTACTCAAGGGCTGCAGCACTCCTAAAGTCAACATGCACAAGTCAGATTATCTGTGTGTGGAAAGCCATTTGTGCCAGACAAGTGACTTTCCACATGACTTTGACATGTAAATATGTTAACACAAACTTTACATGTTTGTGCTACACATGAAACTTCAATGTGTATTTAACGCAGATTAAGAAAAAAAAAACATCACAAATTATTTTGTTGTTTATGCATCAGTCACATTTTTGGCTCTGATGGCTTTCCATTCCCATGTGACTGTTTAGACCTTGAGCTCAACATAGATATGTTTATATCTATGTTGAGCTCCAGATTCACAAATGTAATGCTGCGTTCAAGGCGGGTAAAAAATAAAATAAAATAAAAAACTAGGACATCTGGGCGTTACCATGATTCACTGGATTATTGGAAATAATTCTGACTTGGAACTGTGGTTCATTACCCCCAAATTAAAACACATACAACGAAGTTACTGAATTTGAGAAAAAAAAAGTTTACTGTATGGGCTGAAATAAACTATCAAAAACAGTTCAAGGTTCTTTATTGTCATTTGCATCACGTGGTACATGAGGTGAAACGAAATTGTGTACTCAAGGTCCTAATTATGCCCCAAAATAGCAATAATATAAACAAAACAAACAAAAAAAAAATACAAGGATATAAGCTATATGCTCAACAACAATAATATAATGTGGTGTATTAAACAGCAGCCTGAACATGAGTCTGTTGTGAGCAGATGGGTATGACTGTAGCAGCTTATGGGTAAGAAATCAGCAGCATGGATAATCAGCAGTACAAATAAAGTGACAAATCTCCAATTAAAGTTGCATTACAGTAGGTTCTTTTTCTTGAAAAACTCCTTGCAAACATAAAAAATGGTTATAACGTGTTTAACCACAGCAGTTGTTTCCTTTACTCTTTCTACAAGTTTAGCTCGTCTTCAGAGGATGGACACCCTGCCATCGTGTCCACTGGTAGAGGCCGGCTGCTGCTGATTTCCACTTTTTTCACCTAGTTTTTCTGTTTCATCTTTCCACAGTGAGTGGCAAAACATCAAGAGCAAATTTGAAAACGATTACATCACAATATTTATCCATACTTGATTCAGAAAGATAGAAACAGTAGTCAAAAATGGTAAAAAATTATAAGTTTTAATCAGTTTGATTTTTTTTCAAACAGCAGGGTCCCAAGTTTCTGTAATGTTGATTTTACAAAGTTGAAAAGTTTAGAAGCAACTGCTTGATGAATTTCAAAAATATATTTTACAGAGAATGTTTTCAACATAAATCAGTGATGACATTTCAGATTTATTGCACCTTTAATTGTTTTAGAGGTGGAGAAGTCGCTGATGTGCAGTAATGAATAGGGCTCGATGCACCTGATGCAGTGGTAAATACACCTGGCCACATTTTATTTGCTTAAAACTCACGTCAGTAGGTGATTGGCTCTACGTAGACACGCTGTAAATTTAATTTGATAGTTTTTAAGTGTTTAACATGAGAAGTATGGTGACCGTTTTCTGCTGTAATAATAATTTTAAAAAAGCCTAACCCCCTCCTCTGTGTGATGTTCTGCAAAATCAAATTACCGGTATTAAATATCCAAACAACTACTACATTAAGTCAAAAATACAAGTACCGTATTTTTTCGGACTATAAGGCGCATTAAGTGAAAAAAGTTAACTTTGACAGATCTTTGAGCGCCGTGTACCACACAATAAAAACTGATTAGAGGTCAGTAAGCACAACCAGAATTAATAGATAAGGCGCACTGAATTATAAGGCTGTCGATTTTTGAGAAAATTCAAGGATTTTAAGTGCGCCTTATATAGTCCGAAAAAAAAAAACGGCATTAAAAACCCAAACTACTACATCAAGTCAAAAATACAAGCAGCACATTTTGTTTGTATCATTCTGGTTTTACTGTGCACAGGAACATTTTACAACAACTCAACGGTAAGGCAGTTTTTATTTGGATGGCAACTTGTACATAAAAAATATCCAGGCATTAAAATGCCTCTTAGAAAACCCTCAATAGCAAATGGAATGGATGTTATTCAGTTATCAGCGGGGCAGCGAATAAGACATCTCGCATCCGACAATTCATCCGTGAACTAAAACACTTGTAAATAAGATTGCACTTAGGGAAACTGATCAAAAAAGAGGCACTTAATCACAGTTTTTCAAAACAAGTTTGGCTTCTGTAACAAAAGGATTAAAAAAAAAAAAACTGTTCAAAATATAAGGACAAATTATAAAAAAAAAATGTAAATAAACCTAAACAGTGCTGCCATAAATGCTATTAGCATCTAAACATTTTAGTTTAATATTAACACATCTGCAAAGGCCTTGGCGTCGTGCAATAAATACTGATTGTCTAATATGTTTGCATAGCCCCTAAAGCTGTTCGTGCTTTGGTCAAATCAACCCTAGCTGGGTTCCTACCTCAATATAGCACTTGTACATGCAGTAACACAGGATATAAGCACAAGCTACACCTGGGTACAAAGCAGTGCAGTGGCAGTCTGATATGCATCAGGTAGTACTGATGAAGGCAGTATTTGTTCACTCTAATACTGTGAGGCAACAGTGATTCGTGTAGGCACTGATCACCGGCAGCTGCACCTCCAGTCCACTTCAGAGAGTGCTATCCAGAGTGTTGTAGTTGTCCTTAAAGTTCTTGAGCTCCAGGAAGTGCCTGGGCTTCTTGCTGCGCTGCTGCAGAGCTGACGTGAGGTAGGTGGGGGAGGAGGAGGCGGAGGGGGAGGAGGCGCTCGCAGGCTCTGCAGCGTTGGTCAGGTCTTTGGCCGCAGACTGGTGGTGTTGGCTCAAAGTGCTGCTTCGAGACTTCACCCTGAAACAACGCACACAGGCGCACACGGTTTCCAACTGATTCATCGACGGTTTGTGTTGGGAGAGAAATGAAAAGCTGCGAGACGAACAGAGCGACGACAGGTTGTGTTTTCCTTACATGGAGGCCAGCTCGGTGAGAGCTTCCCGGTATTTTATAAATTCTGCTTCTCCAAACACCTGAGGACAAAGAAAATGGGCACCACATCAGAGAAAACTGAACTCAGAACGTAGTCATTAGAGATTTTTAGAAACAAAGGAGGTACACGTTGTAAACGTAGCTTTCATTGCAAAACAGCAGGTTGGGCTGATTTATAAACTATAAAATAATTAAACCACAAGCGGTTTCCCCCACAGCTGATGGATTTGAATAGTGAATGCTTGTAATAGGAGTGTTTTGTATTTATTCTTTGCTTGTTCAAGGCAATGGAGAGTGGCGGATGCTTGCAAGTGGCAGGACTAAAATTATCCACCATGAGGCACAATGATGGAACCAGAAGATGGCCATGCTGGTTTGGACGTCGCCCAGATTAACAAGGTCTGCGTCAGACGTTGGGGAACCAGGACATTTTGATGAGAAATGTTCTACTGCAACAAGACATGCATGGACAAGGGCAGAGAACTTAACACTGTTGGAATGTTACTAGACGAGCAAGCCTAGAGGGGTGGGGGGCTATATGGGAAGGATGTGGGAACTTTGGAAATTTTGATACCTATCATCCAGATTGACCCAGAAACAACTTTGGACCCAGTGTTCCAGCATTCTTGTGAAGAATCTGCTATCACACCTAGAGATTGAAGAGGTACAAGAAAGATGCTACAGTAAAGGGGAGCCAGGATGACAAGTGAGGGGAGATATACCATCACCCCACCATCAGAGTATATCTGATGTCCCATTGAAAAGCCCTGAGGAACTGAATACAAGAGCAGCTGACCTGAGAATCAAGACTGTGACCAAGATAGACACCTACACGTGAATAACAAAGTCCATGCTCAATAATCCAGGTATACAATCCAACATTTTTCAGTCAGGTCATCTGGACAGTTTCTTTTTTTTGTGCTGAAACATTTCACCTTCAATCCAGAAGGCTTCATCAGTCAAGGAAACACACAACTCAAAACTGATTCTTCCCCCAACAGCTTACTCCAAAGTGGAACAAACCAGTTATGTTGGTGCTAAGATGGTCTCTTTGGCACGCCCCCTCCTCCGTTGCCGGCCCTCTTCCTTGTTGACAGTCGTGTCAAACTGAACACATGAATGCAGCATTACATTGTATCCATACTGCCACCATCACAGAGGCCATTAAGCTGGTATACACAACAATCACAATGATCCTTGACTTGCTTGGCTATAAGATCAAGCCATTCAGTAAGGAACTAACTTCTCCCACCATGGAGAAGGAGACTGGAAGCAACTTAGAGATATCAGCCAGCTGTCAGAACAGCAGAAAGGTGCAATCAATAAAGAGCCACCACAAAAATACTGCAACATGTCTGTACTTGAGGCTCTAGAGACTGCCAAACAACGCCTCAAAGACAAAAAAACAAAACAATGCCTCTTTATGATAGTCACCTAAAGAGCCAAGCAGCAGAAGCCAGGAGAAGAAACAAGGGTGCTCTCAATGGCAGTGAGCAACATGAGGGTAGATCCACCCAGACATACTAGAGGCATATAAGGAAGAATCACACAATAATGATGTCCCATGACTACAAGATCTAAGATCTTAACACAGCAACCTCCCAGAACAAGAACCAGTGCTCTCACTACAGTGGCAGACAACAGGACAGTCTCAGGAACGAATGGCCTGGCATGACTCACACCTACTGGCTAAAAAACTGACTGCTCTCCATGAACGCCTAGCACAAACTTTGAGGCCTAGATGCAGATACACACCAAAATGGAAGTTGGCAATTTGCTTGTTTTTCAGCTCACAAGGTTGACATATATACATATATGTCAGCAGCCATCTTGAATTTTGACCTGGCAACCCAATTTTCATAAGGAACCTTTCCTATCACTAGATCTATCAACACACAGAATGGAAGTCAATGCCTCACTGTTTTTACCAAGTTATCATGCTCACAACATTCCCAAACAGATGGACGACAGACCGATGGTGTTTCCAACTCCCCCTTTTTGCTCCGTGATGGGGGGGAGGGGGTAATAAAACCTATATAAGCTGCAATGGAGCCCACCAAATCCACAAGACTAGTATAAAACAAAACTCTTGATGATCCACAGATGTAAAACATTTTAACGTCCAAGGATCGTCTCACACCTGGGTACTTTTTTCTCCAGTTTCTTCCCACAGACCAAAACCATGCATGTTTGGTTAATTAATAACTAATTTAGATTAGGTGCAGGTGTGAATGGTTGTTTGTCTATGAAGCCTTAGGTTTCCCTAGCCTCTCACACAGTGACTGCTCTCTGCTACTGGGAAAGGAAATAGTGGTTAAAGAAAAAATGGATGGATTTTACAGACTCATCTTGGACAGAAGACTTATTTTGATTATTTTTACCCCCCCCCCCACACACACACACACACACACACATTTACAAGTAAACTAAGATGCAGAATCAATCAGTGGTATTTAATAGCTCACTGCTCCCTCACTAAAGTGACCAAAAATTTGAGAATGCGCACAGAGTCTGTCTTTTTATGCTGCATTTCAGAATAAAAATCAAGCTATGATGTTGGCAGTAGACCTACTGAACGGAGCCGTGTGAAGTGTGGGGGTTGTGCTCAGAATCCAAGCAGCCTCCAGTGGTAATAACTGGAAAGTTGTGGCTGTTAAGAGTATCAAGTACAAATGAACTTCATCTTAGACTAAATTAAAACCAGAAAAGGTAAATGATCACTAAGAATGAAATCAAGTCGCAGCATCTTTCTGTGGAGCGACTTTCCTGTGACATCTGGAAGGCTAAACCAGAGAGATGGAAAGGTGGATACAGACAGACAAAACAAGTCATATCATGAACGCTCAGAAGCTCAGGATAGGACAAAGTTTTACCTTTCAGTTAGATAACGATTCAAAACACATTGCTAAGAAAACACTTTATGAGAAATTCTGAAGTGATCCGGACAAAGTTTGGGTCTAAAACTAAAGACAAAAACCTCTGAAATAAGTTGTGCCAAGCTCGTAGCATTAGTTCAAAATTATGCCAAAAATAGGAAGTCTCTCGGATGAGAGACGAAACGTTTCTACATTTTTTTTGTTGTTTTGCTTTGTTTTTTTGAATGTCCAGAGGACCAGATTTAACTTTTTTAGATGCCAAAAATAGTCGTGTCGAAATATTGTCTTAACGTACTAATTATAATTACAAGTGATGACGAGTTTACACACAGACACACAGCAAACCTGCTGACCTCGGCACTATGACGAGCTTTGTTGTAGCCGTCCAACACCGTGTCAACAAGAGAGCTCAGGCTGTCTCCGAGCGCGCAGTGGGAGTTTCGTAGCTGCAGCAGCCAGGTCCGAAATCGTTTCCCAGTCACAGCCGTGGATGTCCCGCCCAGTTCACAAAAAGGAAAATCTAATTTAAAAAAAAAAAAGATGCCAATATAATAATGAGCTCTTTTGACATTACAAAATGAAACATGATTTTTACAGACAGAAAATATTACCAGTGTCTCTGACCGCGTCCAGTGCTTTCATCCTGTACAGGTAATCATTGAAACCTACAACACACACACACACACGCGCACACGCACACACACACACACACACACATGAAAGAGTTGGCACAGAGGTGAGGATATTTGCAGCACTGATGTGTGTGAGTGCTCCTCCAACCAGGATCTTCTCTCTGCTGCAGTCGGTCATCATCTGGAGACAACAAGCGAGGCTCAAAGTGGATTTTCTGAACTTGGCTCAGTTTGGCTTCAATTAGTTGTTTCAGTTCCTACCAAACAAACAGATCATTTCATTGCACATACACACACACAGAGGGGGGAGAAACGAGGTAAACGTTACAACTGAACGATTAATAACTACAGAACCGTATTTACAACCTTAGGTGCGTTGTGGCCGAGGGGAACGTGCGGTCCTCTTCGAGACTTCATGGCAAGACGCATAATTTGTCTTTTGACAAAGATGAACAGCAAAACAAACACCTGAAGAAATGTCATGAGTTGAGTCATGGTTATCACTTTTTACACATATTTTCACAGAGATGAGCCTCAACAATTAAACCATCTGTCTTAAAGCAGGTCTGACCTGTCCGTGGGCCTGGACCTCTGAGTGATGAGCAGCAGTTCTTTACAGTCCATAAATGATAATGGACCCAAAACTTTCCCAGTAAAACATTGCATCATATATGGGATAATGGGTGTTTTTATTTATATTAGCTGACAATGGCTTTAATGGTGCGAGTGACAAGTGTCTGAAAACATTTACAGCTAAATAAACACTTTGGGATGTTTGCTTCAATTTTCTTGGTCTAAAATTAGGAATCAAAAACACAGTAATAAGGCTTTTTAGTAAAATATTTTAAAAACGTTGCATTTTATGTGTGCTCTCACAAAAAGCTATATCTTTCAAAACAAGTCATTTACTGGATATTATTTTAGGCCAAGTACTAAAAATAATGCGTTAAAGGGGAACTGACTGATTCTGGCCACTGCCTTGGAGCTTGACGTTTCTCAGAATTATGTAATCATATATAAAAAAAAAATCCAAGTTATACAAATTAATTTTGACTAAATAAAGTCGCATTGTAGCTTCTTTCATTTGTCCTCACTTGACTTAAAATTAGTTAAAGCTAAATGCGCTCAAACTCACCAAACTCCCGTAAGCCATTACAAGGATCACGTTGACGCTCGAGAGAATTCCCTCGTTTTCCTCCATAACTATGAAGTTGTTGTGCATTCTTATAAGATCAACAGGCTAAACATTTCTGCTCTCAGAGCGTCTAAAGTTATATTCTGTAAACATAACGATTAGTTTATGTTACCGTTTCTAAAACACATCACACACGTGTTAAAAAAAAAACATAAAAACCTACAACGGTCGATAAAAGAGCTCATTGCTGCTACATTCCGCAACTCCTTGTTGACTTCCGTGATAGTCACGTGACTAGTACGGGACACGTTGACGTCAATCGTTCATGCTCTCCAGCCTCCTCAGTTATGTATAGCAGAAGGTTGTAACATATAATAAAAACACATTTTCAATACAGTATGTACAGTACTATCAGTATTTTCTTTCTAGTCATAGCATTATTTTTTTACTCGTCAGAATTTATATATATATATGTATATATATATTTTTTTTTTTTATTATTATTATTTTTTCATTCAACCTTTATTTAGACAGGTTAATCCCATTGAGCCCCGAGGACTCATTTACAAGAGAGACCTGATTTCAACAAAGAATGATGACAACAATGGACAACAGCGACAACAATAGACAATTATAAAAAGGCATACAGATTTTTTTTTAAACAAATAAGATGGCAAAAAAAAAAAGTAACAAAAACAGCTAGATTATAAGGCGAGTGTAGAAAACTAAAAAAAGGAACATGTCTGCATTGGTCCTTGCTAGGAGTCCAACAGATTCTTAAAGCCACTTAGATCTTTGGGAAGGTCAAGGTCGAGAGCTTCAGATCTTTTTTGCAAGATATTCCAGGAAACAGGAGCAGAGTAGGAGAAAGCCCTTTTGCCAAGTTCAGTCCGCACTGAAGGAACACTGCAGGTAATAATGTCCTGAGAGTGCACGCTCTGAAAATGAAATAGCATTCATATTCTATCTCAATGAGCTGCATGTTGTAAAAAATAACCACATTTAAAAATGTATTTCCCTCTTCCTGCTGCTGACCAGCTTTATGGAGATGCAGATTTCATTTTCCAACAGGACTTGGCACATGCACACAGTGCCAAAGCTACCAGTACCTGGTTTAAGGACCATGGTATCCTTGTTCTTAATTGGCCAGCAAACTCGCCTGACCTTAACCCCATAGAAAATCTATGGGCTATTGTGAAGAGGAAGATGCGATATGCCAGACCAACAATTCAGAAGAGCTGAAGGCCAATATCAGAGCAATCTCTCTCATAACACCTGAGCAGTGCCACAGACTGATCGACTCCATGCCACGCTGCACTGATGCAGTAATCCAGGCAAAAGGAGCCCCAACTAAGTATTGAGTGCTGTCCATGCTCATACTTTTCATGCTCATACTTTTCATGTTCTTACTTTTCAGTTGGCCAACATTTCTAAAAATCATTTTTTTAATTGGTCTTAAGTAATATTCTAATTTTCTGAGTTACTGAATTTGGGGTTTTCATTAGTTGTCAAAAATATTTGAAACATATCAGTCTGTGTGTAATGAATGAATATAATATACAAGGTTCACTTTTTGAATGGAATTACTGAAATAATCAACTTTTTTCATGATATTCTAATTTTACGACCAGCACCTGTACAATAGCTAAGTGTTTGTAGGGCGTGGTGTCTAATTTTGCACATGCGCATTAACGTTCGCTTCGAAGAGCCTTATTATGTGACAAACAGGTATGCCTACATGTGAACCTCACGCGCGGAACAAACTGACAAAAATCACAGCTAAACTAAATAAAAACACATAAACAATAGGAAGACGCTACGCTGACCAAAAACAGCAAGTAAAAACTCTGCTTGGAAGCTAAACTCAACTGTTTTGTTGATGTATTTATTAATATTTTCGCGTCTGTCCCCTCTGAGTCAAGAATGCATTTAAAGTACCAGCTTGTCCTTCATTTGCATCCATCCGGAGAGACACTGGGTGCCATTCTTTAGTCAGGAACAAGGGTGGGAGTCAGAGAAGTCGAGCCCCCCACTCACAGGCTCTGTCACAGACTGACTTTTTGGGCCTCCGAGGTTCAGAGCAGCAGCAGCAGGAACCACAGTTTCCTCCGTGGCAACGGAAAAAACCAGCAGGTGCATTGAACGCAGCACTGTGAGTATCTGTGAGCAGCACGTCTTCAAGTTGGTTTCATGTAGTCATCACTTTTTCTCAAGAAGTGTGTCTGACACTGTTTTGTTGGAACAAACGACACGGGTAAACTTTAAACCACATTCATAATGCTGGTAGTTGGGTGGGATGGTTGTGTTTTGCCCATGCCTCTGTATTTGTGTCTGTCTGTTAGCAAAATATCTCACAAACCACCAGACGATTTTTAATTAAACTGGCGTAAGTGATCGATGTATGTAACTCTACAACCGATTAACATTTAGAGTCATGTTGGTTAATGATAGCTGCCAACTGAGCTTACAAAACAAAGAATGGCTGTAACTCAGTTGTTTTATAGTCTTTCGATTATCGGGGGGTTATATTCCAGACACCACGGTGATATGGGAAAAACTGCCAAGTAGGAACACTATATTTATTTTAGTGTTTTTATATATTTTAAGGCTTTATAAACCCTTCTTGCACTCTTTCAATGTTCTTAACAATGTTCTAAACTCTTTAAATGCTCTAAAAGTGAAAGAGAACCGACAGACTGATGCTACAGTTACTGAGCCAGTCATCGCCCGGGGACAGACTGGCCATCAGGAGCACTGGGACATTTCCAGATTTGGGAAATGTTCCAGCTCGGTTCGGGTTGGGTCAGCTCATTTCGATCGTGCTTGATTATTCTAAATAAACAATCCATGCCGCTCACTGTGGTATCCGCTTCACTGAAGCTCACAGCTCGCAGACAGACCCCACCCCTCCTTTCTCTTTCTGAGGCTGACAGCCTCAGAAAGAGAAAGGAAGGGGCCCCTCTGTGATCACTGAGTGGTCAGGCCACCAGGAAACAACGTGTACAATCTTATGTTGAAAACCCGCGAAAGAGTGAGTCCGCAAAAGTCAAACCTCGAAGTATTGAGGGACTACTGTACTGACCTAAAATGTTGTGTGATAGTAGCTGAGACTGATACCCAACACATATTCCGAGGGCTAATATATTGCGCAAGATCTTTGTTTGAAATTTTGGCATTAATAATTTGGAAAGTACTATGTTGGTGTGTTAGCAAAATATTCCCCAAATCAATGGACGTAATTCAATGAGATTCAATCACTGGATGTACATTTACAACTGATTAACTTCTGGAGCGAACACAATTCAAGATGGCCGCCACAGCTACCTGACGTTAGAAAAAATGAAAAAAAAATACTCATTTAGTTTATTTTGAGGATATTGGGACTGACATTTGTTGTGGTCGAAATTCAAAGCCATAACCAACACATACTACATATCACCCCTGTTAGCAAAATATCTATTAATATCACTGGTTGAATCCCAATGAAACTTGCAGCAATATTGGGTGTAGACCTACAACTGATTACCTTCAATATGGCTGCCAAATCTAATCAGCATCATCGAAAGAACAAATAGCTAGAACCAAACCTTGACCCCCTCAGTCGTGTCCAACTTCCGGCCTGTCTCCAAACTCCCATTTGTTTCTAAACTACTGGAGAAAATAGTCGAGTTCCAGTTGAAGTGCTTCCTGGAAGGTCACACCGTATTAGAGCTATTCCAATCTGGCTTTAAACCTCTCCACAGCACTGAAACTGCCCTGCTGAAGGTCTTTAACGCATCTTCAGATCCACAGATACTGATGATTCTGTGCTGCTTGTCCTGTTGGACATCACTGCCGCCTTTGACACCATCGACCATGAGATCCTCATTGCTAGGTTAGAGCAGTGGGTGGACGTCACAGGGTCAGCCCTCAATTGGTTCAGATCTTACCTCGCTGACAGATCCTTTTGTGTCTCCATCAAGGATTTTAGTTCTGCAGAGGCAGAGCTTAAATGTGGGGTTCCGCAGGGGTCTATCCTGGGTCCCCTCCTATTCTCTTTATACCTGCTGCCGCTTGGTGCTATTTTCCGGAAACACAACATTCCCTTCCACTTCTATGCAGACGACTTTAAAATTTACTTCCCCCTAAGACATAATGGTACATGCTCTATTCAACTGCTGCTCGACTGCCTGGCTGACATCAGGGACTGGATGGCTTTAAACTTCTTAAGTTTCAATGAAAAGAAGTCTGAAGTCATGTTGTTCCCTCCCAACGACACAATCACAAACCACTGTATCGACCTCTCCGCTCTAACCCTGTCAGAAAAACAAGGAGTCACTAATCTGGACGTGATAATGGACCCTTCCCTGAAACTTAATCATGTAAACATGATTGTTAAATCATGTTTCTTCCAACTAAGGCGGCTGTCTAATCTGAAGCCCATATTATCCAAAAATAACCTGGAGACAGTAATACATGCATTCATTACATCTAGGCTTGATTACTGCAATTCACTCCTGTTTGGTATCAGTCAGACCTCCATTGCACGACTACAACTGGTCCAGAATGCAGCAGCCCGATTTTTAACCAGTACAGGCAAAAGAGAGCACATTACACCAGTTTTGGCCTCACTGCACTGGTTACCGGTTCACTTTCGAATCCAGTTCAAAATACTCATGTATGTCTACAAATCACTGAACAGTTTCACCCCCCCATTTATCTGATCTGCTACAACCGTATGTCCCACCGTGTTCCCTGAGGTCAGCGGACCAGTTGCTCCTCACAGTTCCAGGAACTCGTCTTAAGCGCAGAGGTGACAGGGCCTTCTCTGTAGCAGGACCAAGACTTTGGAACGAGTTACCTCTGCTTGTCAGACAGGCCCCCTCCCTCTCGATTTTCAAGTCCCTTTTAAAAACCCACTACTATTCGGTGGCGTTCAACACCAGATGATCTGTGTTTTGATCCTGTATGCTCCACACTGGTTTGTCGTCATTATCTGCATCGTTTTTATGTCTAAATTCTGATTTACCTCATTTTGTGTATTGCTTTGTGTGTAGTCTGTTGTTTTGTCTGTACAGCACTTTGGTTGGCCTTGTCGCTGTTTTAAGTGCTCTATAAATAAAGTGGTATGGTATGGTAAGTCAATCATATTGAGCTAAAATTTGGTGTGGTAGTAGCTGAGAGTCATTCACAACTCAGAGCATGAGATTGTACATACACATATTTTCAAGGTTTTACTAAAACAGCTAAAACGTTGTCATTTCTCAACAAAAGAGGGTTTTACTCTAAAATCTCATAAACAC